ATAGCAGGATCTGCTTGACCATGAACAGAAGAGCTTAATTCTGGTGTAAAGAAAAGGAAATTTCTGAAGATATTCCTATTTTTCTACTGAGTTACTCTATTAAGAGCAACATATCTCATTAAGCTTCCAATGCTGTGTCACACCTTTAGGTCAGTTGCTTCATCTGGGACTCCTCGTGAGCACACTTTTGGGCAGGACGATGGATCTGTGGTCTTTGGCCAGGCACACAACCAAAACCAGGGCTTTGCAGCCTTACACAGAGGGTCAAAGACAAACACAAACCTATCTGACCTGGGGACATGCCTGCAAGGTGCAGAGGAGCCTTTCCTTGCTACACGGCAGCTTCAGTCCTCGGTGTGTACTGTGGAGAAAGGCTCTGTCATTGGGAGTTCACCAAACTTTTTTCCTCCCTTTTTCCCCCTTCCCTTCACTCATTCGCTCCCTTCTGCATGCCTCTGTTGCTTTGTATTTGCTTTCCACATCAGTCCTCCAAACAGGAGCCTTTCCTCTGTGAGCAATGTTGGCATCACGAATCTAGAGATGCTGATCTTCGCCCTGCTCATCCTGGTCAGAAGGTCCTCCCTACAATCTTCTCCAACTGGTTCCCCACAGCAGAGCAGAACAGAACAGCACAATCAGCCTGGATCTGAGACAGCGTTTTGACTTCCAATAAATGTTGCTCTTCTTACGTGATACTCAGTGTTCCCTAACTAAATGTCACTAATAATAATGGCAATCCTTGGAATGGAAAGACTTGGGGTTTCCACCGTGAAATGGTTCATTTAAAAATAATAATAATAAAAAAAATGAATCAGAAACTCACACTTCTTGAAGCCAAGAACATTATGTTGGCATTGATGCATCAGAAGGGAATTAGGAAAGTCTCTCCTGGGCTGCAGTGCTTCCTGGCTGATCTGCAGGATTCCTGTGTGTTCCCCACTGGGACCTGCCCCAGACACAGGCAGGGTAATTCGACAGTGGAGGATCAGATCACTCGGTCTGTGCCCTAGGAAAGAAAAGCTTGTGTCCTGACAATGGATTTGAGCAGCACAGTCTGGGCAATACATCGAGGCATTAAGCTGTGCAAGAAATGGAATGTCATAATTACTGAGATTTGAAGGGGAAAAAAAATCAGCATGGGAAGAGTTACCCCCCCCCTTTCTCCTCCCCCCAAAGCATGTCATTTCTTAACTGTGCCTCTGAAGTGTTAGTTTGCTTTTGGCATTTTTCCCCTTTATCTAAACCTCTCAAATAAGCCCTAATGACAGCATGAGTTGCATGTTACTTCATGTACTGCCTTGCAAAGCACTGGAATTCCTTAGGTGTCTTAAATTATGGGCTCCTTTATGACAAATGACTTATATTCTGCCTGATATTTACTAATATACTGCAAACAGCACATATATTGGATAGGGTTCATATCACAATTACATAGGTATTCATTAGTCTATTCACAGTTAAAACCTTGTGTTTTATTGAAAATGGACGTAAGAGTCTAATGAACTCTCACATGGGACAAATACAATGAGTATATTGGTAGATCTGTATGTCACAATCAGAAAAACTAACTATATAAACCCTTACCAAAGCTTCACTCCCAATTTAAGCTCCTTCATTCCCCTGAATGAAAGGATTTTTGATAATAAGTTCTTATTAAAATTTCCTTTGATTTTTCTACTTGGATCCTTTTTTTTTATTTCATGGAAAACTCTGTCAGACTTTTATCCAACATATTTTCATTAGGTTGGGACCAGAATTTATTAGAAATAATACAAAAAAAGAGCTAATCTCAGGGAATTTTTCTTCCTGGGAAAAAGCAAAAAGATCTGAGGAGTTTCAGCTGAACAACAGCTATTATGGGGCCATTCCTCCCCTGGCCTATAATAGGTTTTGTCATTTAAACTTTTGGAAACTGGGAAAGCAGGAATATTTCTCTACTGCAATAGAAATTTATATCTACTTTGCACATGTCTAAATGAGCACAGGAGGGACGCAGTGGTGGGAATCTGGACTGTGGATCTGCACAGTCTGGACCACTAAGCTTTTTCACTGATTCCCAGAGTGAGGAATGATTGCTCTGACATTTTTTCCCTCCTTTCAGTACTGAAATTCTTATGAGAAATCCAAAGCTGCTATTTTTGGCAGGCATGAACAGCATGATTTTTGGTACCTTACTTAAAAATGTAATAATTTCTTTTTTTAAATTGCCACAACAGTTTTATGGTCCTCAACCCTTCTAAAATGTTTCAAGCATTAAAAAAGAAGCCTATAAACTAATGAAGAGGGCCCTTAGTGCAACATCCTGCTCTCCACAATAGTAAAGTCACACAGAATATTAAGCCCTGAGAGATCAAACACTTAACACTCTCACTGATACAAAGCCAAATTCTGCTCTCATTTGAACTACATAAAATTTAGGCCAGTGGACATGAAAAATACCCCAAACCTGCAGTTTTCATGCTAATGAAAATAAGTCATAATACCTGAGAGATCTTTGCAAGTGTGGGCACTACTTCTTGACCTCTTCTTTTTGGGTTTGTTCCTAATTCAGTAACGTTGAACATGACTTTAACTGTATGGAGCTGCCAGCTCTAAGAACTTAGGTCAGAAAAAGTGCTATGTTTTGGTTTGTGGTGTTGGGTTTGTTTGTTTGTTTGTTTGTTTGTTTCCTGGGTCTATGTATTTATTCCAAATAAACCAATTGGACTTAAGCACATTATTTAAAGGGAAACAATTTCTTGTGACTGTGCTGCTCTGATTTGGGCTAAATGGGAATCTCAGAAACTTGTCAGTTGTGCATACTGACATTTTCTGAGGTATTTGTAGGTGAGCTTTTATTAACAGCTCTGTCCTTCAGTAGAGGTTAATAAATCACCGTTGAATTTGCAGGCACTCTCAGAATAGATAGGAAGCCAATTGGGCTCTGAAAGATTACTCCTCTATTTGTTTAGCCACTGGCTCTTTGGTTGTAACCGATAGGTTTTAGAGCTGGGAACGCTGCATTTCCCTCTATGCTTTAGTTGACTTGTTAGAGATTGTTGTTTGTGTTTGATAAACGAGAGGATGATGAGGCACTGGCTAAATGCGGGGGTGGTTTTTTTTTTTTTTTTATCTGAAAAGGTTAGAGATGGGAATTCCTCAAGTAGGCAAAGCCACTGGCTTCTGGCAATGAGTAACTGTTTTGTCTTGGATGCAACCTGAGCTCATTAGTGCTCTCTCTTCCCTTCACACATTCACACACACCCTCTTGGGTCAGCTCCAGACCCGCGTGATGGCTTAGGGGGAGCCAAACTGCTGCTTCTCTTCACTTGGCTCAGAAGTCTCAAAGTGTGTAAAATGCACGTGTGTATCCTGAACCCCCAGCTGCCTGAGAGCACACTTGATTGCACTGGAAAATGTGCAAAATTGCAAATGGAAAGGTGCTAAATGTGCAAAAAGTGGAAAACGTGGGGAAAAAGGTGTGGGGGGGCGAGCCTATCTGAGGGCTGCAGTTTAGAGAAGTGTCAAAATGGACCAGGCAAATTTAGGGGCCACATTTGTGTTCATGTGGGGGTAAACACAGGAGCAATTACATGCAGTTTGCTGCAGCACTAAACAGAGAGTAAGTATTGGACTTACTGTGCTGTGTGCACTTGGCTCCTACGTCCTGACTGCCAGCCTGGAGGCTCGTGTGTGGATACCCAACAAAATAAATTGTGTGGACAAATTATTACAAGGAGTAAATACCCCTGTTTTTTCTGAAAGTCTGTAGTTAAGTGCACATGTCGGGAAACATTTCAGTTTTAAAATCCTATTGCAAATGCTGAGATTTGGACATTGCTCTATTGTGAGATGGTTTGAATTTGCAAGCTGTCTTCAGTTTGGCTTTTCTGCCTTACATAGAGGTTATTTTTGATAGGTGCATAATCTAAAAAAATTGATTTGAATGTGGTGATTAGAAGTGGGTCGAAGAGGCAGGGATGTGAATTGTACCATGGGAGTGTTTGGAGCTTGCATGTTAGCTAGTAGCTCCCAAAAGGCCCTTCAAATAAACAGGCAGTAACTGCAAAAAGATTGATGGTTTGGCAATCGAAGTGGCCACTGATCAAAAGTTGCCCCCTTGTTGGTGGAAAGGAATGGGTTGAGTGACACTGGGCTGCCTGAATTGTAAATTATCTTAATGAAGAGTAAATGTGTAGTGTGAAAAATGAAATAAACCAGCTTTTTTTCCCCTTAGGCTTATAAAGGATTATTTCCCTGGTGAAAGCAGATGTTTAATTGCCCAAGACCAGAAGCACAATAACACATGGCTGGTCTACCTGTTATGTTACAGCTGCGTGTGCTGCATGCTAAACCTGCTGTGTTACAGCTGCAAACGGCATCTGTTCACAAGGTAACTGTGAACGGTGTCATACTGTCTAAAAAATCAGACCTGCCTGGTACAGTGGGGGAACAGGGAAGCAAATGTAATTCTTGCCGTTATTATGAATACCTGCATAGAAAGAGTGGGAGTAAGCCCAGTACAACCTCCCACGGGATTGTAGGACTGTGCAGCAGCGCTGATAAAGTCACAAGGCGTGCTGGAGCAGTGGAAGGAGAAGGCACTTCTTTAAGACAAGTAGCATGGTCAGAACTTAGAAAATCATACATTAGTTAAAATTTGTACAAGCAGTTTGTTGTTGGGTTAGTCTGAGAGCTGAACTGCAATCCCTCCTGTTAGTGTTTGCAATGGGCAATGGGAGATAGAGCCAGCATGGCACTTCCCAAGCCAGGACTTCCAGGACAAATATATTCCACCTTTATTTCTTCTCAGGGCAGGGAAGGGGGGAGGAATCACCTCGCTCTTGGTGCAGCTGGCAGTGATGTTACAAGAAGCAGAGGGACATCTTGGCACCCTGAGTGACTCTTGCAGGGACCAAGCCAGTAAAGATTAACACCTGTTTCCAACAACCACATGCTTAACTATCAACTTCCTTCCACAAAACTAATTTTTTTCCTCTCTCTTTTTGTTTTGTTTCTAGCAGCACACAGTTTTGTTGACAGCAGAGGCTTGTGGTGCCCCATGTGTCCTGGTAAGTCTCTCAAACGAGTAAGCAGACATACTTAGCTTTGGAAAGTCTTCCAAGGTAAATGATGTAGGACACTTGGGATGTCATCATGACACATGGTTTGTGAGACTGGAAATCTGAACTTCAGGTCCAACATACACAAAACTCCCCCAAGCCTCCAGTTTAGGACAAAAAAAATACCTTTGAATGTGTTTGATGATTAAGCTGGTTATTTTTATTTGAAAATTGTGTCCACCTTGCTGGGCCTGAACCCCTGGGAGAGCCCAAGGAGAAAGGCAGTAGAAAAAGGAGGAAAAAAAAAAAAAAAAGCAAGGCCTTGTGAAAGTCACAAATGAGGGAAAATATGCAATATTCACTTATTTCTGCTTGTAGAGCTTATTTCTATTAATGCACAGTCTCAACAATAGCTGGTTGCCACGATACAGGGTGGTTGCCAGAGAAGGTGCAGAGTAAGGAGGTGAATAGGATTCAGAGTGCTCCAGGGAAGTATAAGATTTTTATGGTTTTTCAACATCTGACCTCCTAAAAATCTTTTTCTTTGCGTTGTCTTTGATGGATGGAATTGAAACTCCCTGTGGAAATGAGATGTCACTGCCATTGTTTTGGCACTCAGCTCGACAACCGCCCTCCCAACTCCCCTGGGATCAATAGTGATAATTAATATTGGGATGAATACAAGTAGCACCAAGCATTGCCCTGCCATGCTTCAATGACAGACACGTTGTTTCTGAAACAATAGGATGCTTTGGCTGGCATCCTACTGGACTCATTCCTATGTTTTTCAGTCCTCAGGTGGCAGTTATGGCAAGAAAGGCAGCTCCTTTTGGCTTACCCTTAAAATGTACCATTTCTCTTTAGGTGAGTATCTGAAAAGGAGCTTAGAAAATTCATCAAAGCTACCCTGTACACTGATAACTACCTGGATATGGGAATGAAGACAGTGTTTAAAAGGGAAGTTTCAGAAATAATGGAGATTGACTCCTCACTTCCTCAGTGTCTTTCTGCTCCCTCCCAAGGTCAGTGCTAGTGCCAGCTCAACATCTTGACCGTACTCTTTAAGCTCCTGAGTAAACTAGTCATGTCAGAGATCACTCACATCTTTCCTACCTTTCCATGAGGCAGTTTTATTGTGATATGACACAATTCAATGGACTGTAAGGGAGCCCTTCTGAGACCCAAAGCCTCCAAATGCAGAGTAGTGACAAAGAAAGCATTGCAGCAGTCCTGTCTCACAATAAATGAGATAACAAGCACGGAGACAACAGGAACCTCACAGCAGAGCTGCCCATGTCAGCAAGATCATGTCTTGCTGTGAACCACCTTGAGTGAGGTGAAGAGAGCTCATGATCTGTTTGAAGGCCCAGGCCACCCATGGTTTTCTTGAATCATCTTTGTCTCTCCAATTTTTCTCTTTTCTAGGCTGAAAAGCTCAGTTCCTCCTGGTCATTCCTCTACTCAGATTCAGAAAATGTACCGTTATGGCTCTGTTGTGTATTTACTCATCTTCTGTGAGTGTTTGGGAGGAAAGTCTTAAAGGCTATTTTGCAGACATGGTCTATCACCTGACAGTAATAAATAAAAACATGGATGCACCTTGATTATGAAGGCCAATCAACATCCCTGTGACAAGGAGCATGTTTTCTGTTGCTGTCGTACACTGTTCCATCTCTGCCCTTACCAGCCCCATCTTCACGCGCTTTGGCCGCAGTCAGAAGGCTCACAGGCCTTTCCTTTCCTCTACCAGTGTGCAACACTGCCCTCAACGAAATCAGGACACAGCAATCCTCCTCTGAACGTGACCTTTCCTTTCAGCTTGTCCCTGGCAAACACAACTTACAAACGGTTCAGTTTCCTGCTGGCTCGGTGTAAATTTTCCAGTGTGGGGACTTCTGTCTGGTGTTGCTTTGCAGCACGAAGCTAGCAGGGGTTAATGGCTCAGGAGGGACAGAAACTCTGCCAGGTTAAACTTTTGATGCATGATCCCATCACGTGTCAATCAAAATAGCTCTGCAGACTGATTTCTTCTCCTCTTCCCCAGTGATGATGATAGTTGGGCCCTGTCAAATAAGCACGGAGAAACCCCAAATGCTCCAGCCCTGTGGGTACAGGAAGAACAAATATTTCTGTTATCAGCGGAGCAGGGGAAGGGTAGTGCAAGGATATTTTGCTGACAAACTCAACTCATTGTGCAATTAATTGGCATAGCCTGACACCTTGTATTCATTTGCATACGTTTAAATGAATTAGACAAGTCCTAATGCCAAAGCTGTCACCCAAACATTTGTATTTATACAAATACGCTCACCTTTGCTAAAAAGGTCATAACTTTCAGCATGGACTTTGTCTCTCTTTCACTTGATTACACCTATCTCCTCATATAGAGAGTTTTAAATTATTTATATAGGATACCTCGATCCTTATAATATTTCTAAATGAAGCATAAAATCAAGAATTGTCTCACATATTTTAAAACACACAAGCTCCATTACTGTTTTATAATTGCTAATTAACAGATAAATGTTTAGTACTCCCACATTTTTTATCCTCCAGATACAGCAAAGCAAACAGATTAACAGAGGAAACCTGAGGACTGCAATATCTGTTTTATGATAAGAGCATTTAGTAACTTAATCCCTACTACGCTCGGCTCTCAAAGACAATGTACTAGTGGTTATGTGATACAGAATAATGAACTGATACAGAGGTACATTTGTGTTGTTCTCTGGTTAGAGTAGGAGCTGAGACTTAGATTGTTGGTTTGGTTTTTTTTTTGTTTGTTTGGTTGGTTTTTTTTTGTTGTTGTTGTTTGTTTGTTTGTTTTAAACTTGCTACTAGTTTAAATGACTTGTCTAAGGCTGTAGAATAATTTCAACCATTTTATAAGTATTGTGCTACAAAATGGAGAAAATTCAAAAACCCCTCTCAGATGTGCACCCTTGGGTACCATTGCATGGGGGCGTCATCATTATTAGACTAACATAATAACCTAATGCCAATGCCTGGTATAAAAAGTAATGATAATTAGCAGTAACACAGGATGGCAAATAATCATCTTCAGGTGACAAATGCAGGAAACCTGAGAAGAACTGAGAGGGGAGTGGGACTTCTTCAGTTACTTCTTAGGACTAATTACCTAATAAACCCAGGATGTGATTGTGTGATACTGAGTCATAGATTCAACGTGAGACGCTGTGCTATATTAGAAGATGAAGTAAAAAGGTATTTTGAGTCTCTCTGGCCAGAGGTAAATCTCTTATCTAAAAACCCCACATACATTATGGTTTCAGATATCTGCATTTTTCTAGCCTAATTCTTGATTATTGCAGAGGATTTGTTTAGCATGGGACTCTTCCCAAAGCACCACCACTTAAAGTCTCCAGCTTGCAGCAACGCACTTTCTATTTTGGCAAGATGAATCTTCTGGTATCTGCATACCTCTCCTGTTCCTTCCTTCCTGTAATTAGGGGTAAATCTGCTCCAGGACCTGTTCTTTTGTAGAAGCACCATTTTTAGAGCAATACATCATTGGCAAGTCATGACACTAACAGATCCTTGGAGAGTGCTGCCTCTCTAAAGAGATATAGTATCACCTTGATCACTGCTAGACACCACTCAGGAAAGAGCTCCATCAGTTGGTGAGGAAGCAGGAATAAACTCATTTTAGCTATAAAGATGCAGGTTGAACCTGCTTATCAGTGAAATAGCCTCAATAATTTATGTCCATTTTATTTCTTCCTATTTGCCCTCAACGCTTCCAGTAACCCTACTTTGATTTTAGGGATTCAAGCTGAGCTAGATGGATACCTAATGTTGGGGGTTTTCCCCCCCTAGAAATATTTATTTGCATCTGAAAATTATTCACTTCCAATTTTGCACTTCCTGTGCCTTTGCGTTCCACGGACATTGGGTCGATATTTCTGTATTGACACAAATGTTTGCAGAACGCAAACATCAGAAGGAGTTGGGTCTGTGCCTCCTTTCATGGGACAGAGGAATCACTTGTGTTTACATGTCAAGACTCTTTTTCTCAGTCTAAGCACTCGCCCATAAAGAGGTTTGTGAATTGGTTACTGATCTCAGCCCTGGAAAGCTACAGATGAGAAGCCAGTTGTTTCAGAAACTGCTGTTCCACAGACCAGTGTGGTCCCCAAATCTTGTCTTTCTTTATTTAAGATGAAGATCAGCTGATCAAGGTGCTGAAAATAAACCACGTGACAAAATTGACCCATTCATCAGCACAGTGTAGAATATTGTCCAACAGCCAGAAGGCATTAAAAATATTCAAAATAGAACTGAAGATACTAACATAAATAAATGTGAAAAGAGCCACAGGTATATTAGTGTAAGAGCATTTTTGGGGTGCTTTTCTGTGTTGTTGGGGGGGTGATTCAGAATAACTAAATGAACATTCTCAAAGGTGGTTGCTTAAGGAGCTCAACCCCAGTGACAAAATTAAATGTCCAAAGCTGGAACTTTGAATACTGCCAACCTCTTGGTAAACTTGACCTCATCTTTAGTTACCCAGAACCCTCTTGAAGATGCAGATGCTGGAAAATGAAACCACTTTCCGTGTCATGATGATATTTCCCCTTCTTACTGATACCCGGAAGGAAACCCGATGGATTAACAGATCGGTTGTACCGTCAGGATGATTCACGGGATGATGTCCCCTTGGTCCTGCCATGTGCCTTGCTCTTTCATCAGCTGCATTGCCTTGCTGCCTGTCCATCCATCCATCCATCCACCCACCTACCCACCCACTGCAGCAGTGCGAGCTGAGCCAGCCCTGGTGTCTTGTATTGTTCTCAGCTGAACTCAGAGCACGTTCGGAAGCAACACCCAGAGCCGGGATTTCCTCCATGTCAGCACACAGAGGGGCTCTCCGCTGACTCATGGACTGGTCCCAAAAATAGCAGGTTCAGAATAGAAACCTTCGAGCCCTTTCTGTCCTGGAGAACAATGCCTCACACTTTTTTTCTTCCTGAGTATGAAATAAATCCCCTTTTTGCTTCCAACTTGGCAGTGTTAAGCTGGAGGGGCTTGGTCCAGTGCTCAGAGCACCTGACTGTGCTCTCGAGGAGAGGAGTCAGTCACTGGGACTCGAATTCTCTCATTCTCAGCAGGGATGTTATTTAGTTCATTCTGATCAGGGCTGTCTGATTTTTCTGGGGGGACATGGGAACTTAAAACGGAAAGAGATCCAAGCAAAGACTTCTCTTCATAGCCTGTTTTTTTATCTTTTTGCAGGGCAGTTTTAAGGACCCAGACAGGACCAACAATGAATACAGGAAGAAAAAAGAATATTCATGAAGCGTAAGATCCCTCACACAACTGAAGTGCCCATGGGTTTTTGGAGTGTTTGTTTACTTTCTGTTGTTATTTATAAAATGCCTAAACATCTGTCAAGCCCATCTGAGAAAGAGCAAGACCCTTCTATGTATAACTGTGTTGTCAGTGCTTTACAAATCCAGTAGCCAAATCTCTGTGGGTTGGCAGCTGCTGGTGTTCCCTGTACCAACCCAATTCCTGTTGGGCTGCAAGGGAGTCCTCAGGGAACAACATCGACAGTGGGACCCCAACCTGTCAGCCCTTCTGTTGCTGGCACCCATCGCTCGTGCAGCCTGGCTCCTCTACAAGCTGGCAGCATTCTGATTTTGGGAACTGATCTGCTGGATTTTAGCCACTTACTGTCTGTAAGGGCTTATCCAAACTGCATCTCTTCAGCTGAAGACAAAGCTGGGTTGCTGGGCTAAGACATATACTCTCTCAGCGTTGGGTAGGCAGTCTAACAATATCAGAGATGATTTTCACAGCTTCAGATAATTTTCAGAGCTTCATTTCTTCAGTTATTCTGAGAATACTGGTCTTGTAATCCCATGTGAGAATGCTTTCAGGGAGCCAGGTTGTTTCCTCAAGGGAGATGGTGACTGCCACACAGGGAAACAGAGTAAACCATGCCCCAATAAAAAGTAGTCACAAACACTGGAGAAAAGCATTTTAATATATCTCTCCCTGGAAAGTAGGAGAGGTGAGATTGAACTGGATGCTTTTTAGAGAGAAAATCCCAAATCTTCTCTAAAGTATGTGTTGAAGTTTTGAAAGTCTTCCACTTCCCCCTCCTCCTTTCCCATCTCTACAACAAGTACAATTTTTAGACAAGGCAGGTCTTTGTGCTCCAAATTTAATACCTAGTTTTTGACCCATAGAGTGATAAGCTGGAAAATAATTGGCTGGATTTTCCCCAGTGTTGAAGAACGCCTTTCAGATTGACTTGGGAACTTGCCTATTCTCGTCTGCCCACCTGGCTTTCACTTTGATATCCCTAACATTATCATAACTTTTATTGTGTTTGCATGTCAATCAAGCCTTCCTCACTAAATTACTTTCATTTATACATCCTCTCCTGCTATTTGGTCTCATCATCATCTAAGATTTAAGGTGAAAAAGTTTCTTCTATTTGACAGGGTGGGAGGTGGAAATTACTATGTGAGCAGTAAACTACAGGTTACATAAATAATATGTCATTGTGTATCACCCAGTGGAGCCTTAAACCAATTAATTAGTTTGTATAAAGCTTTTGTCTGCTTTTTAACTGCATCCTATCCAAGTTGATTGCACATTTGCTCTAAGTTGGTTGTTTTGTTTTCTTTCTTTGTGTCGTCAACTTTCAGGATTCTTGTATAGTTATGCTGTGTGTGTTTCTAAAGATTGTTTTTCTTTCTTTAGAGGCTTGGTTTATGTTTTTTCCTCCACTTCTTGACACATCGCTAGCCTGAGGCAAAAGTGTACATTTAGTTCAAGAAAGGTAGACACAGGGATATTCTTCCCTGCCCATGGAGTGAAAGGCAGGCTGAGATATGCTGGATTAATGGAAAAGGTACTGAAAAGCAGCTGGTTGATTCCCTTGCTTTCATGCTGGTTAATAGCAAGAAAAAAATAATCTATAGACTGAATTGTACTGTACAGATAATTTATCCTAATGCCAAGAAGCCTACCATCCTTTTCACAGGCAAAGTTTTCTCTTACAGGAGTGCCAGGAAAGATTGCTTTTTGGTTGAAATTGAGGAGATTATGGTAACCCAGGTGAACCTTGTTTTGGAAGAAAACAGAGATGGTGAAATATTATAATTTTTTTCAGTCTTTAGTGAAAAACTTAAGAAGTTACTAGTGCGGGGAAACAAGGAAGAGAAAGACATTTTATTACACTGTAACTGCCCATGCTGAAATACTGGTCTAGCCTGACTGCAAAGCAAAAATAGACATTGCTTTGATATGATGATCGATTTTATTATTCCAGCTGAGATTTTTCTCTTTCATTTTTCTGCATATCTCCTCTGCTGAGTGAATCAGGAACTGTACAAAAGTCCTTTACAATGCAGACTTGATGTACAATAATATTAAGCAAGAAAATATTCAAACAGCCATGAAACAGTCATCAAAAGTGCTGCTCCTTGTTTCAATCCCTGCAAGAAATCAAAACCTTTCAAGCAGAGCCAGATTTTAACGAATGGTGGCTGTTTAAAGCAGAGTTGCCAAAAGCCTTGGCTGTGCCTGGACTTTTATTTTAAGTATTTGTACCATTAAATATTAATATAGGTCAAATAACTGATCCCCCTGAGCAGATGAAATCTGCACAATGAAAACAAACACACTGTAAAACATGAGCCAATGTTACCCACAATGTTGCTGCATAAATATGCAAATGCAGACCCCGATTTCCCTGAACAAGTTTTCTTATTGACGTTATGGGAGAATGAGAAGGAAAACATAAAAATTAAATAATAGTCACAGCACTGAAACTTTTAAGAGCTGATCTGAGGCTCATTGACTCAAGGGAGCTTTGCCTCTAGTACCTTAAAGAGCTGCAGGGCTGCAGAACCTGAAACACACCCAGGGAAATCACGACGTGGTGCCACACAGGCAAGGCAATGTCACATTTGACAGCAGATGTGTCCGTAAGGACACACTGCAGTAGGAATTAAAAAGAAAAACGTGGAGTGGATCTGCTTGTTTTTTACTGGCATCTCCTGCATAATTTTACTACAGGCTCCCAGTTTTTGCAGTCCTGTCAGCAGCTCGGCCCATGCTGCATGTCACCTCTGGAGCCGGGAACCGGGGTTTTGCACCTTGGACTGCTGGTGATGATGGGAAATGTGGGAGATCCTACAAGAATGTGTGAGATGTCTTAGGTCAGGGACCTTGGTGAGGTCCAGGCAAGATGTACTCTTCGTCCAGCTCATAGTCAACATTTTGAGGAGTATTGATGAAGAGCTTGCAATAAAATTGAAAAGGAGGAGAAGTACATAGCAAGGATGGAAACTGAGAGTTCATTGAATTGATCAGTTTGTATACAGCCTCAAATGCTACTGTGGAGGGGGCAGCCACAGGAAGCCTTTGCCCTTGATCCTTTGATCTCCATTTGTCCCGGTCTTCACAGCTGGCAGAAGCTGCAGTTGGGTTTGTGTGTGCTTTGTGCTTGAGGCCTGGCTGCTCTGTGAGGTGTGAGCACTTGGAAGTGCTTTGAGTTTGAACTGGATACAATAGAAATCTAAAGAAGCTGTAAAAATACCCTGGGCCAACTCCTGATCCCTGTTATTTCTCAGCAAATTAGGGATACCTGTTAAAATTATGGCACTGGTATTGCAAAGTTGTACATTAAAAATAATGAGTGAACTTACAAGAGCACTTAAAATAATAGTCTAAATTATGCTTAGTAATAATTTTTGCTTCAGTCAATGTTTTAAGGTTTTCTTCAAAATAGAAGGTGTGAATCCCACCTAACCCTGTGCTTCCAGCAGGTGAAGAGTTAAGAATAATCCTGATACTGTGAAACTTAGAAACCTTCACTCAGGGAAATATGGATTCCTGTAGCCAGAGTACTCTGACAACACCCACAACAGTGGATGCAAAAGTCCAATTTCAAATTTTAAAAATGAACAATTACATGACCTAAGCTGCATTTTACCATTTTTCACTCCCATCATGTTTGGGAGCAAATGATACAGGAGGACATGTATTTACTTCAAAGAGGTAGATACTAGATTTTCAGCTTCCCACAATATAGTTTTGAATTGCTCCCACCCAGTAAATGAAATCAAATACATAGAAATATTTCCTTCAGAAAGAGGAGTCTAGGTTTCTCCAAATATTTAAAATATTTGAAATATTTCAAATATTAGGTAAAAACATTTGCCTTAAAAAGCAATTATTTTATTTTGAAAATAAGTTCTAAAAAAAATCTAAATATTCAAGAAGACTCCATATGATACAAAATTTCCATTTAATTTAATTTTTAAATATAATCTTTCCTCCCTGTTGAAATCTGCATTTGAGGAAATTTTCTCATTTCTTGCATTTTGAGTAAAAAATTTATTCGGGTTTCATAACGATGTGCATCATTCTGGAGGCTGCTTCTTAAAATGTAACCCAAACAGTCCAAAATATTCACATTAGTGTGCTGATGTGAATGAGACAAAGCAAGCCTGGCTTAAACCCAAGTGCTCAGCCCTTCCAAAGCACACTGATTGGAGTCATAACCATCCGGCTAAATGGAAGCTGGTAATTAAAAATATGCAAAATGGCTTGGAAATAATGTGGATCTCTCTGAATGTGGATTTTGAATATGGGTGTCTCTCACACGGGTAAAGTGGATAATTGCCTGCCTATCCTGCTTCCATTCACTGCAAATAATTGAGTTGTTGTCAAACACTTCTAACACTGCCTATCACAATAAATATGAGAAGACAGAGGGGCTCTTTGAATAATCTCATTTTTGCGGCTGAGGAAGCTGTTTCTTTTGTACTTGCCTGGGGAATGGCATAGCAACAGGAAATGAGAGCAGCAGAAAGAATGGAGAAAGCACTGCAGACTTTGCTTTATTTCTTTATTTCATATCTCTACATTGCATCTGAGACTCCAGTCCCACACCTGTGCTTCTCCAGGGACTTCTTTTGTGCAAAAGCCCATGGCTTGTGCACATCATAGGAGTGGTAGGACGAGCCTGGTGCATGGGGACAGTAGAGTGGGGACCAGGGATACCAGACAGACATGTGGAGCTTTGCCTAGGTCCCCAGCTGAGGCGCCTGTAAGTCATGGGGTGCTTGCCAGAGAAGTGGGGCATCTTTGGGTAATGATTGAACAAACACCTACACAGCACTGTCAGGCTGCAAAAATGTCACCAGTGTGACTGAAAGCCCATCAGGGCGCACAGAAAACCCGCTTGTACACGACAAACCACCCTGACCGCGTGGAAGGGGTGTTGCTGTCTCCAAGCAAGCTCATGTGCTGCTCTGGGCTTTGCTCTGGTCCTTGGGAGCTGCAGAAGGACTCAGGTGACACTTTTCATTGCTGTGGCTGCCTTTTCTTACAGACCAGCATGGCTTTGCTTCTCAACAGCCTGTCCCGAAACACCTCCCTCTGCACATCCTTCCACCACAGTGCTACTTCAGCAGCATTTCCTAAGCCCCATTTCCCACACTCTCACAGCTCTCCATATGCTACTGCAATTCCCTTTTCCCCCATCTTTTAATCTTTTCCTTCCTACAACAGGAGTATCCCCCGCTGATTTCAAGAAGCCCCTTGCACTTTCCATCATGATGCTGTTTTTGGGGCGGGGGGGTGGGGGGCGGTTTATCGTGTTTTCCACTCTTGGACTTCTGCACAGAGGGTGTGGATTGGGTGGCTGGAGCATTGAAAATGTGACAGTGACA